GTTTGTATAATGTATTTTTTCTTTATAAAACTTGTATATGTTATTTTCATTTAAAAGCTATTCACACATTTTGATATATGTACTTGTGTCTTAATTATGTATACATATTTATGCATTTTTTCTGTCGGTGAAAACCTCCTACTTCACAGCGGGAGATCGTATCGGGGCTTCTCGCTTATCCCCATTTTCCAATGAGGAGATCCGTAGTCGCTTCTCTTTTTCGGTATTCCACTCATTTTCAGGCTGTTAAGTTTTTAGGAAAAAGAGAACCAACATGCATACCTCACATGCAGTGTTTCACAAATATTGAAGTAATGAAAGTGTTAGCTACAAAGCTTACTAGTTCACAGTATAAAGAATTTTGTGGAACAACATGTTTTACCCAATTATCTAGCATTCGTAGGTGTCATGTTCAAGCACAACTGATTAGATGCATGTTTTTGAGAGAAATTGAGGGTAGCTCAAAAGATGCAATCCTAATACATGTGAATGGCACCACTTTGCGATTCACCATTCGTGACTTTGCTATAATATCTAGGTTAAAATGTTCAAACAATGAGAAGGATTTTGTCTTTATTACCGAAGAACCAAACATGATTATTCTTCAGTATTTTGGAGTCGAAAAAGCCATCACCAAGAGTCAGTTGGTTGAAAAGTTTGATAATAAGGTTTGGGGGGATAATGATGATGATGCGGTGAAGGTTGTTATATTGTTCTATATACATTCATTCTTCCTTTCCGAAGAACCAACCACTACTGTTATTGATAGGAAAGACTTTGATTTTGATTGAATCGGGCAGATACATTGACTACCCATGGGGTAACAAGGCTTTTGACCTTCTGATTCTGCATTTGCACACTAAGATCAAACACGATGGGAAGTATTTCAGGTTGTATGGTTTCCCACTTGCTTTACAAGTGTGGTTTTATGAATGTTGTTTGAATTTTGATGAGGAAATTGTTGTTAAGGTATCTCATCACATCCCTAGGATACTTAACTGGAAGACAAAAAAAGATTTCCCTCGTCTAAGCTATTTTGCTAAGGGCATGTTCAGAGACGACAACAATTCGGTACGCATTGTACAATTATATGTATAAATATAGTATATATATAACTGTATAAATATGTAAATGTATAAATATATGTATCAGTTTGTGCTATAGAAAACTATATGTATAAATGTCCTCCATGTATTATTATTTATACAAGTTTTTGACAATGTATAAATATATCTATAAGTATGTGAATTGTATAAACATAAGCTCATTTGTATATATAAGCTTATAAACTATATAATTATACATATAAGTTTGTCTAATGTATATATATAAAAATTGTATATATGTTTTTACATTTGATTAAGGAAACATTTTGTATAATGAATATGTCAATATGAACATGTCTATATTTTGCAGCTTGTTTTTAAGAATATAACTCCAACTCCAATGGAACTCAAGATTCTTGAATTACCTCCTAAGTATGTTCAATAAGATCCATCTCCAACAGAAACAACAGCTGCAAATACTTCGGACGATGATTTTCAGGATCCTCCATATCCAATAAATAACAAGGGAAAGAAAAAATTGATACTTGTTTGTCGCCTCCTCAGAAGAAATCAAGGCAAACAATCACTCATATTCAGAACAAGACAACACCTAGGGTCATTTCAAAGTAGCCTTGTTTAAGAAAGTCTCCCCGACGTGCAAATGTTGCAAAAAGACCTAAGTCACCACTTCCAAAGAGGCAGGCCAAAAAACATGCTAATGTTCCATCGTCCTATACAAGCATTAAGCAAAATGTTGAGATTAATGTTACATCGTCCTATGCTAATGTTACATCAAGTGTTGCTTTCAAAATACCATCCACCAGCAAGTCACATGATTTCAGTATATCGCGTGATGAGTTTGATCAATTCAAACTCTCGATTTTTATTTTTTTAATTATTAAAATTCTTTTTAATTTGTATTGGATGCGTTAAATTTACCGATTCACCAATTGACAGCTACCTAGTCTCAAAATCAGCAATACCATCATTACAAATTGATGTAACTATATCATTTTCATGATTTGAACTTTCACACAGTTCAGTGATATTGCTACTATTATCCATTTTGCTTATACAAATTGGATACTTGTTGAAGTCATCTGCAGCCTTTTTAAGCATGATATACACTCTAACACCCATGTCGTTGTGAATCAACATTGGCGTTTTGCTTTCTTTAACCTTATAATCAATTTTCAGCTTAATCACATTTGTATCAACACCGAGTTGCATTGCAATAACATTATACAACTCCTTATACGATGAACTTTCTTTAAAAACCACCCCTCAATTGTATAATCAACGTAACAATTGTCATTGTCCCATCTACCGGAATGCATAACCAAAATAGCTAATGAAGCCATTTTCAAAATTTCTGTATAAAAAAAATGGTTATATATACATATACATTTATACGATTAAGAATTTCAACAACAAACAGAACATATATTTATACAAATTCTAGCAACTTCAGTTATTCACATATATACATATTCCCATTATATACTCATATAAATATTTATATACACATTCTGCATATACATTTCTATATAAACAATTATATACACAAATTAAAACTTTATACACAATTATACAATTTCATACAAGTGCAATGTTATGTTACTTTCACAGAGTACACATTTTTGCATTTGTATAACAATCATATATCCAAAATCATGATGAAGATGCACTGTATAAAACATACACATAATAGTTTCATATATGAATTATACATATCTTACTAAATCATATCTAAAAACCTATACGTATAAACTCTAAGCAAATATACAAATCCGAACACAAATATTACTGTGAAATGAGCGAATCTCCGATCACAAATTCAAAATAATCAACAATTTCATCCAGAAAATTTCCAGATCACAAATTTTTCTAGATTACAAATTAACTATACAAATCATAAGTGTTAAACTCTATTTCGAACAAAATATACACCTCTCAATATACATTCAACTTAAATTGATGAAAGTTAAAAATGAAATTTGATTTTGAATACATGTTGAACACCATCTTCGACCAAAAAAAGCAAAATCAAAGTATGTTTTCGTCATGAAATTACCTCCTGTTGCTATCTCTACAGTCCAATGATCTCGATTGTTTGTATAGTACCGTCAATAGCTTGATCGATTTTTTGAATTGAGTTACAATGGAGTTCTTACTGTTGAAGACGACGAGGAAGGAAGGAAAATCGAATGGAACAGAACGTGCGTGACTTCAGTGGTTTTTTTCCTTTTTTTTCTAACCAAAATTAACGCCTTTTTATTTATTTTTTAAACAATCAAAATGTATAAAAAAAAAAAAAAAAACTTACTAGCTAATATACAGAAAGACACATCCGTAGCAAATTAAAATTTTGCTATAGACTGCAATTTTATAAAATTTGCTATAGCATACAATTAGCAATTTTTTATTTGCTATACGTAAAAATTTCCCTATTTAAAACAATAAAATTTAGTAAGAATTGATACCAGTTATGTTATAATTATGATTTATGACTAACTTTTAATCTATTCTAACTTCTAGCCTAATATTTCAACCCAAATAACAATTACTCGTCATTTATTAACTCAATTCTATTGAAATATCAATAGTTGCAAGAAATTAATTTTATTACAATGAAATTGCCTAGAAGTTATGCAAGATTACAAAAGAAATAAAAAAAATGGTCATTTATTAAATAGTTAGTATTTCAAAAAAGAACATCCAGCAAAAAAATTGTCTTTCTTGTGGTTGTTTTCAAAAGGCAGATTTACAAAAATAGTGGTTGATCGCTCGATTAGTTATTGTATCTTTGTGCCTAAATGATGAGTGAGTTCAATTTGGGTGTTCTCAATCAGATAAATTCATATACTTCGAGGTAGTAAAATAAGTGTGGTATAGTCTGATCACCAATAGACCTATATAGCCTATTTTTCTTTTTCATCAAATATGAAGAAAGATAAATATATATATTATTAATAAAAGGGATAAGTGTTGATAAATTGATAGTTAAATACAAGTACAAGCAAAGACCTTTGTATATTTTACACCAGGAGAAAAGAAATTAAAATAAAATAAAATGATTAAACCTAATTTATACCAACCATCACTAATTATAATAATACCATAACAAAGAGTTCAATCCTGATCAATTTGCCACAAAGATCTTTGCTGCATTACAAAAAAACAATAATAAGAAATTTATATTTTAAACCGGTAAAAAAAATTAAATTACACTAGGGCGTGTTTGGTACGAAGGAAAAGAATTTTGTTAGAAAAAAATTGTAGCCATTTTGACATAAAAATATGATTATTGTTTTTTTTTTTAAAAAAAAAAACGTTGAAAAGGGGTATTTAAAATGGATATTATTTGGATCTCCATTTAATTTGAAAAACATAAAAGTTATCTCATTTCACTTTGATAAATTGGTCGAAATCACTTTTTCAAACTTGAAATTCATCTTTAAACTTTTTATTTTCTTTCAAAAGTCAGTTAAATATATAACCACATGATGTTTCGAAAATTATTTTTGAGAAAAAAGGAAAAAATATGACTTTTTTGTTTACCTTTTCTCCATAGTCTATTTGAAATAGTTTTTAAATTTAAAAGTGTGTTACATAATAAAATGAAAAAAAAATCAAATTTTTTTTTTCCTTTCGTACTAAACATCTCATAAAAGTCAATCAAGTCAGTAAATAATACCTTAGCTTAGTATATATTGAAATCATATATAATCAAGCCATGATCCCTGCATCTGAAACCAAATTAAAAGGTCAGTAAATGTTATTTTAAAGAGATTTGACTGTATTCTTCGAATAATCTCAATAACATAAATCTAACATACGCAAATAAATTCTGAATAAAAAAATATTTAAAGCTTCTTATTAAAGTTAACATAACACATGTTGTTTCTAATCATTAAAATTGCGACCACGCGCATTCATAGCAGATAAACATACTCAACAGTATTTTGAAGAATTCAAGCAACATAACGCATGGAAATGAAAGGAAAAATTACCAGAACCATTGTGGTGACTATCAACAGGGAGACATCTTTGATGATTCTCCATACATTGCAACAAAAACTTGAAAGTTTCAATTTCACAAGGAATTGTAAGGCCACCACTATGATCAAATCCAAATTCTTCTTCAACTTTTTCAAGTAATTTTTTGAACAAAGAGTCACTTAAGTAACTTGTTGGAATTATAAATCTTCTAAGTTCTGGACCCACATAAACAGCTAAATATCCTTTCGGGACGCCATGTGGCGATTCAGGGCTTTGACAACTGTCCTCATCTGAATCCCAATACATATTGGAGCTTCTTAGCCTCTTGCTTATAGAAGGGGATATCCCTCCTCTATGTGTCTCATTTTTTCGATTATTAATGGACGATTTTGTACAACCAATTTTCAGGCTGTGGGGTTTTCCCTTAGTAGTATTAGGGGTAAATGTGACATTTTGCCATTTGTGTAACAATTGTTTGAGTCTCACAATTTGTCTAATTCCTGTCAATTTTGTTTCTCCATGATCTTCCATTTTTACCCTCTTTGCAAAAATAGCCAAAATAATTACAAGATTGATGATGAGGAAATAATCCACCTGAGGTTGATTATCCTGAAAAAACATATACACTACTATATATTATAGTAGTGAAAAAAAAATTAGAGCATAGTTTGATAAAAAAAAAGTTGAATATTAAAGATTAATAGTAAAATATTATATGGGGTAGTAATATGAGGTTAAAAATTAAGATAGGTATAAAGAAAATGTTTTTCGTTTATAAGTGAGAGAAATAGTTTTCCTGGCTCCTTTTTGATGACTTGTTCAGATAAAATATTTTTCTGAAAATGATTTTCGTCGTATCTTGATACTGTAAATTCCATCATTCGTTCTCAGCATTCAAGATCATGACTTTAATAAAAATAATCTATTTAGTTGAAAAAAACAGGTTATAACAATAAATATAGTTTTCTAAAAAAGAAACATTTAATTACTTGAATGTATCAAGAGAATCATTTTCTTATTTCTACTAATAATTTTAACAAAAATCTATTTATGTGGTGTAACAAGAATTTGTATTCTCAAATAATATCGCGAGGGATTTGCATTTATCATGGAGATTTCGTTTTCTTTACGATTAATATCTTTTTTTTGAAGGTTTTTTTTTTCAAATTTCACAATTTACATATATGCTAGAGGTAGAAAATTACCAGAGTATTGTATATATGCTAGAGGTAGCAAGAATAACAAATCTCCATAATATACATAGAAATTAAATATATGAATGAATTTTAGGGTTATATATATAGAAGATCATGAAAAAGGCTCTTTGTTTAAGAGTTCTTTGGCCTTGGAAGATGGAATATGTATAGATTTTTTTTTCTTCAGAATTCACTAAATATGATATAATGATTCTGAATTAAAAAAATATATATACAAACTATATAATACTTCCATGCATGAAAATAGACTTATTATTTTTGCATTTATATGTATTCATTCTTTGTCGCAATAAATTTCTCTAAAATTTATGGCTTTACTATTTTTTCGTTACAAATTTTCATTTTATCCATTCATATAAACCATTTTAAATCGTGTTCATACAATGTTTTTCTTGGGAGATAGACAAACACCCCCACCCTCCTAATAAAAAATTGTGGAAAGCGCGAAGAGCTAAGCCTTCATTAATGTAGTATGTATTATATCTATAAATACATATTCTATTAAAAAAAATAGATATAAAGTTTCTTTTTTAGTCATATATACGTTTATGAAATTCTTAAAAACACAATCAATCTAGGTACGCCACATAAAATGGAACGGAGGGAGGTGTGTTATCAACTGTCATGTTGACTTAGATAATACTGGATATCAAAGCACAATTGGGGATGTAGCTCAAATGGTAGAGCGCTCGCTTTGCATGCGAGAGGCACGGGGTTCGATCCCCCGCATCTCCATATTTTTTCATAATTTTTTCGATGTTTTAATCGAACACGATTAACATATGATAAAGTCTTTTTATTAATACATTTATATACTATCAATATGAAACATAAAAATATTTCGTAACTCTTTAAATAGTACTTAATAAATATCATTATTAGACAAGTTTGAATTAAAAGAGAGGGACTTAACTCTTTAATTTTTATATAGTGAATCTCATGTCTTTGTATTTAAATATTAGATTAAACGATCGAACCACATATATATATATATATATTGAGGTTAATTTTATTAGCTTCATATGAAACCTGATTACTTTTATCCAAATAATAGCATCCCATAACTTAATTAGGATCCTTCATTTGCCTAAATAAGATTATGAATGTAACAACTCTTTTGGTTGTTTTGAGTATTAGAGCTTTTTATTTCATAAAATATTTTTCGATAGATTCTAAATGGATATTTTGAACTATTCGTAACTACAATTATAAATTTAGTAGGGTGGTTTTAATTGTTTTATTAGTTGATAGTTAATGGACAGTTTATTTAATTAAATTACCATATGGCCCATGGATAAGAATAAATTAGAGGGTTTAGTAATTATTTAATTATTAGTTGATAATTATTTACCCTAAATAATTAAAAGAGGAGAGAAGAAGACTTACCCATTGTATTGTATATTCAATTTTGTCGGATGTCCGTTCTTAGTGAATGATAGGCGATAATGTACCAAGGGTTGTGGTGCACTGGTGAGAGTGTTTCACCCATAATTAGAGGTCTCGGATTCGCAAGGGCAGCTCTAATAAATTGGTGGCCTAAAACCAAATTCGAATGGAGGCCTTAAATTCAAATATATGTTTTTTATGAAGTTTATTATAGCCAATTATTTAATCTTTCTTGAGACATAGTATTCGTAATTTGTCGAACTTCTATTACTCCTTTGCTCTTTTATGAAAAGTTTTTATTTTCTACAAGTAATACTCGATATTTTTAAAAAAAAAATACTTATAACCTTTTTTAAAAAAATAAAATAATGAGGCCCCTCAAATTTTGGGGCCTAAGGCAATTGCTTTTTTTTCAAAGTTGTAGAGCCGCCCCTGCGGGTTCGAGCCCTGAGTATGGAGAAAATCCTGTTGGGAGCACCACCCACAAATGAGCCCTGCAGTGCGATCCAAATTTAGTCGAAGCTCTAATGTGGGCTCCAGACACTGGGTGGAAAACCAAAAAGAAGAAGAAGATAGGTGATAAAGTATATTATTATTATAATGTTGGGGATAAGAAAGTTGAGGTGCTGCAATTTATAAGTGTGCGCATATTGATGTGACTAATGGAGAAAATAATCAGGAACTAAAGTAATTGGGGCCAATGGTTAGTTGCTGGTTGGTTGGTTTGATTGGTTTTTTTTTTTGGTTAGTGTATTTTGTGGGTTCATGTGTTGGCTGCCACTGGTATCGTGACCAGTGGTTTCAGTTTTACCATATTATAAACTAAAATTTGATATATTGAGATAGGTAATAAAATATAAGGTGTAGTATATTATATGAATTACATTAAAGTTATGCTAATGGAAGGAATTAAGACTTACCCTTAGGTTTGAACTTTATTATAGAATTAGGTGAGTTTTTGAGTCTAGGCTAGACATATATAGAATAATATGAGTGTTTATAGGCTTGTTAACTTACAAATTATGCATATATACTGGATAGATTGGAAAGGTTCGGAAGCATTGAGGAAAGGAAAAGCATTGGAGAAGTAGTTTGCTTCACTTCGGTTCTTCGGTGGAAGTAGGTTATGGTTTATTCTATTTGATAGATAGACTCTTAATAGTGATTGATATGCATTGAATGATATTGTGAAGTTCTCTATGTACTTGATTGTGTGATTGTGTAGCTTGGTTGTGTGGTTTGTGATTGATTTGAAATCCTGAGACCGTGGAATTTATAATCTTGAACCCTCTCTATCGAAGTGATGCCTTGAATAAAGAAAGTTTAATGAAATATTGTTAATGAGTTGAAAAGTGGTGATAATAAATGATAAATTAATGAGATTATTGGATCAGATTGTCACGTTCCGATACTGTATAATTGGACCGGAGTGTCACGTTCCGACACGGTAACATTAAAGGAAAAAGATATTGAATTAACTTAATGTACTCAATCTCAAAGAACCCATTTCCCAAATGTGCGTGGTGTGGAGGCATGAGTCCCCATATGTGTGCTTGATATTGTGATTGATTGCATACTTACTTTAGTGTTGTTGTCACTGGTTCATGTTGTTTGTTGCTTGCCACCTGCTAAGTGTCATAGTTGATTTTATACTATTATTCATTACATATTAGTTTCTATTTTGGGTTGGCCGATGATACCTACT